GCAATTATTTTGGCGTACCACGACAATTGTTAAACTAATTTTAATCTGTGAATATTGTGAGTACTTACACAACGGTTATTAAGGAGTCATTAAAAAGTGCTATAAACGCTTTTCACTGCTTGCTATATAGTGATTATTTAGGAGTCATAAAAGAGTGTAACAAACGCCTCTCAGGTTCAATCTCTAATACATTTCGAAGCAGCTGTTAGGAGGTGTCTACAAACGTTGTATTAGAGCTTTCACCAAAACAATAAAGCTTGAGTTTAAATATGTATCTATAAACGTTGTATAAAAGTTGCTTCTATCCGGTTATTAAGGAGTCATTGAAAGTGTTATAAACACTTTTCACCGCTTGCTGTTCAATTAATATTTAGGAGTCATAAAAGAGTGCAACAAACGCCTCTCAGGTTTCCTCTCTACTAAATTTCAAAGCAGCTGTCAGGAAGTGTCTACAAACGTTGTATAAGAGCTTTCACCAAAATAATAATGCTTGAGTTTAAATATGTATCTATAAACGTTGTATAAAAGTTGCTTCTACTCCTATACCGCGTATACATATAATGCTGTAGTTGAACAGGTTCTTCAAACCAGTGTAAACAAGAGTTTTACAGAAGTTGTAATAAACAAATTGTACAGTTATTATTCAGCATGCAGTTGAATAAAATCACAATGGAAGCGTTTCTTCAACAAGAAATTGATTTTGGGTAAACGTTTTACTGAATACGTTAGACAACACCTTTGTGTTGCAGTTGTATAGGTTCTCCAAACCAGTGTAAACAAGGGTTTTATAAAAGTTGTGGTAAACACATTGTGCAATTATTATTCAACATGCAGCTGAACAAAATCAAAACGAAAGCGTTTCTTCAACTAGAAATTGTTACTTGGGTAGTGATGTCAATAGTTCCGCAATGCAAATTATATAGGCGCATCATTCGATTGATTGGGCTATTTTTTGCATAGTTTGTTCTGTACGATGTTTCTGAAAATAAATTCCGTGTTCTAAGATATCTACAAGGTGTGTAAAAGTTTAATTTTGCGAGAATTTCTGCCGAATCTATGCGCATTGAAATAATGTCGTTGATGAAGAAAAGCATTGCAAATTGGCGGCGCTCCTTAAGGTGAAAGTTAATGCTTTTCCGTTGATACTGACTCCGCACCCGTTCGAACCACACCCAAATTCAAAATGCATCAATACCAACAAGCATTGCAAATTCGCAAAATGGGAAGTATTGAAATTTTGACAAATACATGTCGTCGAAGAAATGTGTCGAGAGGAGGCACCTTTAACGCCGTCAGCAGAGCAGTAACGCAGATCATGTCAGCGCTGCAACGAAAATGGCGAGAGGACCAGCTAGAAAGTAGTAATGTGCTCACACAAGTGCGAAGTGAAAGCCGAAGCCGAGAGAACTCTCCGTCAGAGTAGGCTGAATCCACCACCAGGGTTAACCGAGTAGAACGCGACGCTGTGTCAATCCCACTAAAGAACTATTCAAAATCTAACCCCCTTAAGTACTCATCCCCTAGGTATAAAAGTCAAGATCACAGGTATAAAAATGAAACTACAATGTGTTGAATCGGAAGGCTTGGTAGCCATCATAATGAAGTAATGAAATTGCTAATACGAGTATTTAAGGGAGTTAGATTTTGAATAGTTCTTTAGTGCGGTAAGTGTCACCGCGACTGTGCGCCCAGTCATCAAGCGGTGGCACAATGGCCTTTTGAAGGTTTCCTCTTTCCCAAAAAAAAAACACAGGCTGGCAAACGACTGGAATATATTATAATGCGTACCATTGGTACTTCGTGTATCTGCAGGTATAAAATAGACACCTTCCGTGGGCGTCACTTAGCTTCTTGTCCAGTAACACCTATCCTTACCTCCTCGCGATGCCGGCTGGGGTACGAGTAACCAATCCCGGTGGGACCTTGGTCGTATGCTGACAGGGAAGGTGGGCCCCTCTCTTCAGGGCTTCTACGTGTGCCAACGGGCACATTAGGATCGATGCCAGTAAGATCCTAATTACGGCATACTGGTCACGGCATGCTATTCTGCTCCCTGAGTAAAGAAGGGTGACACCAAATATATCATATTAACCGAGATGAGTGAAAAGAACTTAATTTTGGGTACTTTTTTCTAACCGTGTACACGGAGAAAAAATACTACCCAAAATTTGAGTTCTTTTTACTTAATATTGACTTCAGCCTCTCACTTGCACTCGTTATTGTTGTCAAAAAAGGAACAAGAGATTCGACCCAACACGCAGAAAAAAATATTTTAAAAGTAATAATATTTGACGTAAAATCAATAAGAAATTCATTTTGTTTTGGCTGCAAAAAGAAATCATTATTGTTTCAACAATCCAGTATTTTTGTTTCTAAAAACCCATGGATTGTTAAATCAAAAAGAAAATCTTTTAGAATTTACAAGAGCTCTTTCATGGTTTTGACGTAAGCTGTCAAATTTGGCAGCTGGGTTAACAACAAAAATATGTTTGTTTTTAAAAGAGATTTCTTGTTTATTCAATCTGACAATTCACGCAGTAGAAATAAAAATGTGTTTATTGATGTAAAAATAATATGGCAATTTTTTTTATGTTTCGTTTTCATTTTGAAACAAAATTGCAGAAATTGTAATTGAATTTCTGCCCCCGGTTCATGAGTTGATGGGTCGATATGTAGGGTCCAGATGTGGGAGCTGCCTTCCTGGCGTTGGGAGCATTGGTACTCAGTACGGAAAACAAAATCGACGGAAAAAAAAATAAAGGAAAAAACAGAAAAATTGATTATATTTATTACCTGCAGCTCGAATTGCAGCATACTTACTTAACTCAAGTCTCAAGATTTTCGAAAATCTTGCACTTATTTCCCGAAATTTACAATTAAAAACAATACTTACGTGGAACGCGTAAGTATTGTTATTGTTTACATTTTTGTCCGGGTGAAAACGAGGGAATGGTTGGTAGTTATTTTTGCTTTAATGGCCCAGAGAATGGACACAGCAAATAAATGCTAAATTAAAATTAACTATTGTTGGCTTAATAATAGAATATTGTTATTTTTACAATAGTTGCATTTGAAAAGTGGCTGATTAAAACAAAAAGAATCCTATTTTGAATTTATATGAATAAGTATTATTGAAACAACAAAAAGCAATATAATTTCAACTGGAATTGTTTGCTTAAATACAATTAAAGATTTTTTTGGTTCAATGCAAACAATTTTCTGTCGTGAACGATATAGTTCAGCCCAATAAGTTACTTTTAAGTAAATTGCATATTCTCAAATTTACGTGGTTTAAACTTAATTTTGGGTAGAATATACTTAAGAGTAGGTAATTTTTTTGCTGGTGTTAAATGGAAACTACTATATGCGATTTACTCAAATTTGGGTTATTGGGCTGAACCCCGGAATTGAGGGAAAAGTACTTAATTTTGGGTAGTTTTTCATCTCCGTGTAGGTCAAGAAATGCTAAAGTAATTTCTTTAGCATTCCGTGTCCTATCTATAGTCGCTATATTTAGGATATATAGATCAGTGCACGGTCCCTAACCTCACTTTTTGCTCCCTATCATTTTGCTTCTGAGTAAAAGAGATAGCAACGAATGGGAGCCGAAACAAACCACCCAAAACTGTCAAAACTTACGGGTGAGAGAAGAGTGCGGCAAATCTTCGTGAACTGATCAATAGAATATAGCGACTATAGTCCTATCCCGTAGCACGTAGAAACGTCACTACTTTTCAGTTGCGTACCAGACTTAAGACGTCAATTTTATTTACCGAACTCTGGGTCTTTGTTTCAGTGTACGCGAAATCTTTGGTGACGTATTTGTTTACCAAAAATGTTCCAAATGAATTTGTTAGATTTGTCAGTAAAGTCTAAGAGGAGTAAAGTAAATTCAAGGTTCGCAGGATCATTAATAAGGACTCCATCAAGGAAATCGTCGGTTTAGTCGAAATAATTGATTTCAAACTAGACAAAATTTGATTTAATCTAAGATACACGAAGAACAGTTCTCGTACCTGCAAGTGTGAAATTGGAAGGTCAAACCACAGACAAGCAGACATAACACTCGCAAGTTGTTCATCGAACAAGCATTTAACGGACAATTTAAAAGTATCGTAGTTGGTAGTACCACCATAGAGGTAACTCTAAGACTAGAAGGTCCCGAAATAACGTGCTCAACTTTTTGGTTCAGCTCTGGTACTCTCTTCGGTCCCAAGCAAATCGATTCACCCCTCGAAACATAGGAAAAACCAATAACCCCTCATTTTATCTGTCAAAATTTCATAGCGAATCAAAACAAACATTGTGTAGTACTAGAATTTCGACTAGAATGGGATATGTTAATCGTATGCTTGGGACCAATAGGCTAGTCAAGTAGTGAGCCAATTTAAAATCGTTAGTTTCGTATTGATTGTTGGTACCACCACCTGTGGCGCGCATAGTCAATTTCCTTGCGTTTGACGTTTACACACTACCGCCATATGTTCAGCGTAGTGCCCATCCCAGTGTACTCAACAGATGGCGGTAATGTTTTAGCGACGATGTTTTACAGTGAGAAATATTCAATACATTGAGCAGGAGGAAAATCAAAAAAGGAAAAATTCGCTAAAATTAATGCTACTTAAGGTTATTAGTGTTTTTGATGCATACATTCAATAAAATAAGTGCTTGTTATATCATTGACAAAATATTATCGTATATCGCTGACAGAAATCTCCTTTACTGTATTTGTTGTCCTCCTGCAATGCTATATCTTAGGTTATTGCTTGTTTTCGTCTGAAGCTGGGCGCAAGTCAAATTTTGGTCGACTTACGCGATTTTGATATAAAGATCGCGTGGATTTAATTTCAAATTTTTCGTAACACGTCGTACGGGAATAGGGCCATATGTGACATTTGACATACCTACCGTTCTATTCTATCCAATTGCGTATAGATTATCTTTATGTAAATTTTTGCTATATTTGGTGTTTCGGATTTGGCAAAGGTTTATTTTCAAGTACAAGTATATTTTCCAATAATGTTAGATTACGGATCAAAACATAAACACGCCACTGAAATAAACTAGCTAGCCTAATTGTAAGTCATATATCTCGGAGTGGCGCTGAATTTTGCGTAGCTCTTAATGACCTTATTTACGGCCTCGAGGAAGTCTTTCTCGGTTGCAACCTTGCGCCTCGCTCTAATAGCAAACATACCTGCTTCAGTGCAGACCGAACGGATTTCAGCCCCAGTAGAGTTGGGACAGAGACGTGCCAACAGTTCAAAACGGATGTCCCTTTCGACGGACATCGACCGAGCATGGATTTTAAAAATGTGCGTTCTACCTTCCAGATCAGGCAGACCGAATTCCACCTTACGATCCAACCGACCAGGACGCATCAGAGCAGGATCCAGTGTATCTGGACGGTTGGTTGCCATCAATACCTTAATATTACCACGCGGATCGAAACCATCGAGCTGGTTGATTAATTCCAGCATAGTTCTCTGTACTTCATTGTCCCCGCCAGCTCCATCATCAAAACGGGCCCCACCGATGGCGTCAATTTCATCGAAGAAAATTAGACAAGCTTTTTTCGAGCGAGCCATTTCGAACAGTTCACGCACCATACGGGCACCCTCACCTACATATTTCTGAACCAGTTCCGAACCAATCACACGAATGAAACATGCATCCGTGCGATTGGCAACAGCTCGCGCGCATAGCGTCTTACCTGTGCCGGGTGGACCGAACAACAGTACTCCCTTTGGCGGTTCAATGCCAAGGTTGACGAACTTTTCCGGATGCAGTAGAGGGGTTTCGACCACTTCTCGTAACTTTTCGATTTGTTCCTTGCATCCGCCTACATCGCTGTATGTGACATCGGGTTTCTCCTCGACCTGCATCATGGTCACCGTGGGATCAATCTTCGGTGGAAGAGGAATATGAATCTGGTACTTGTTACGGTCCACACTGCAAGAGTAAAGTTATTCAATCAAGTCAAATTAGAGAGAACCGATTGATTTTGAAATTAAAGTGCAACTTACCCTACACGCATTCCTTCTTCGATATCGGTAGGGGCCACAGAGTCAGCCAAATCAACCACGAACTTCGCAAATTGCTTTACATTGATAATATATTTGGGATCGTCCGAGTCTGCATTGATGATCTTCGTGCAACGAGCAACCTACGGAAATATAAATAATAATACAACTTTTATTGTACTTTCCATCCTTTCCTATGGGGAACATTTCCCTACCTGTAAGGGTTGTTCATTCTGAAGAATCTGTTTATCAGCAGCCAGATCCCAAAGAGCGGGCGGTGCCAACCCGGTATCGCTTTCCTTTATTCCGGTGAGTTCATTCACCTGTTTGATGGATTTCTGGATGTCATCTTCGATTTGTTTGATCGATTTGTGGTACTGGCCTTGGCCCTGGAAGACACATCATTTTGAGGTTATGAAGTAGTTTCGTCGCAATTTTTACTACTATTTTCAATAAAATACTTACGTAGGTTTTCAGAAGTTCGATATCAACTTCATCAAGAGCTGAAAGCATAATATATCACATTATAATATAAATATTACTAGAAGAGTTCATATTTATGTAGCCGCATCCATACAAAATAATTACCTTCAATCTCAGGTTCCGTCTCCTTGTTGTCGAGTTTCACTTTGCGCATATCGTCTCCAAGATGGTCAGGCATTTTAATTGTTGTATTTAAGCCGAATCTAGGTAGAAAAACGAGATGAAATTTACAAACTAGAAAGCCTGCGTAACAAAAGTCTCACAAATGATTACAAGCAACTTTTAGAAATGTTTGACAGCCGACGGCAAAAATGACAGCATCCACATTTCTGCAGGCCTAAAAAGGCTAACATCGCTCACATAGCGAATTCGTTTATTATTCAGTTCAACCTGGATTGGGTCTGCTTGTTTTCTGACATACGTCAGTTTGATCGTTTGTTTTTAAAGCCCAGCTTAGGTTGAGGTTCGTACTGACAAAAAGATCGGTTTCGCACTGGGTTGGAACAGAGTCGATGTTATAATAAGAGTCCCGCCAAGAGCACATGTTGCGAACAAGCAGCACTGTTCGTGATATATTTTTCGTCACACGGTAACCAGCGTAAACACATTATGTGTAAAATTTCACACATTTCGTGAAAAAAGGGGTCTACTCATATAATGTGTAAACCCAGCAAACGCCAATAGAAGTGTATTTTTTACACATTTTTCAAGAACGGTTTTTACAGCAAAATGTGTAAAAAGTAATCATATCTAGAACTTAAATATAATGGGTGCGTATGGTTTTTTATTGCCTTCGGAATTTTCTTATTTGTGTTAATTATAAAATAAAGATTGCTCGAATACAATAATATTTTATTAAAAAAAAAGGAATGCCATCAAAAAATCAGTACCGGCGTCGGTGTTGTAAGCGTGATTGCCTCTTTCCCCAGCAGGCCTGATTTTAATCCCAGTCGGCACCGCTGGGATGCTCTGAGGCTAACATCTCTGATCACGCCGAGAATCACGCCTTCCTTCGGAAGGGAAGTAAATCCATTGGTTCCCGGTTCATGAGTTGATGGATCGATAGGTAGGATCCAGATGTGGGAGCTTCCTTCCTGGCGTCAGTAGCATTGGTGCTCAGCACGGAAAACAAATTAAGGAAAAAACAAAAATCAGTATGAAGCAAGCAACCCTAATAAAAAATAACCATAAACGAACGATAACCCAAATCATTGAACTATTCCACACATGGTTTGGATGATACCCAGAACACGTCGTTAAGCAAATTAACCATACAATTTTTATTAGGGAAGTTTTTCCAAAACTTAACTATGAAAATAGTATAAATCACCTACCTTCTAGTATGTCCATCGTCGTACTGTCCAGCTTGGACCGTAGTGCCTCCATTTTCCTGTTGTACTTCACTGAAATATAAACAAATTACGTGCGTAAACATGGCAGGCTACAGCAAAGTTTGAAGTTTTTTTACCCATTAATGAGTATAAAAATACACATTTTTTGACTGGTACTACATTCTTAAAATGTGTATTTTTTTACACATTTTAAGATCTCCAAATTTACACATTTTTTGACAGCTGCATATAAATATAAAAAATGTGTATTTTTTACTCATTTATGTGTTTACGCTGGTTACCGTGGCAGAGTAAACGGCAACCAGATTTTTTGCGTTACACAGCAAAAAAAAATATAATATCGATCAATGTAATTCAAGCTGATGTATGAAATAATGATGTAATAGCAAAAAGCAGATACAATATTACATCAATGGATGTAATTTTGTTCGCAAAATCGATGCTCATCATACAACGTTATGGTTATATTACACAAGCGATGGATTGACCTGGAATATAGTATACTGAGGCTGTGAACCATTTGCCGAGTTAAATTTAACTCGTGGTTAAAAGTGACATTTCGAAAGTTATTTTCTATGTTCAAAAATCCACCGGTTTTCGAGCAACAGTTGTCAAAATTAAACTTCTTGTTTTTCAGAAATAACCATGCTCGGATACACGGAAAGACGAAACAACTCAAAATTAAGTCTTTTACACTCATCTTGACAGCTAAGTGCAACCAGACAAAATTGAGTTCTTTGCTAGGGGAAGGACAGCTCCAATACCGATGGTGGAAATATTAGATATTTAAATATGTGTGATATTTGGAAATCTTATACTTAGTCTTGCAGTTGTTTGATTTTGTTTTTGACTATTTTTGGTTTTAAGTGTACATTTGACATTAATTTAATCAAAAATGGATTTCACACGAGGCAAGTCATTCCTTGATGATCTTGCTGGCCACCGCCACTGAAATCCGCTCCTTCACGGATACGAATTTTGTTCATTTAAAACAAAAATATAAATGTTTATACTCTAAACATATGAATTATTCAAAGTGAATTGAAAGCATCTTTAAAAATAAAATATTTATGTTTGAATTAAATTCAAAAGCATGTTTATTTCAACAATATAGGATTTGGGTAAACGGTTTTTAGCGTGTCATGCCTTTTTATTTCCTTCTTGTTACATTCGGAAAAAGTTGCTCCAGCTTTGCTCAACGTCAACAGAAAACGACCATCCATTCCGAATCCATTCCGGATCCTCCTTCGATACCGAACATGGAAAGAAACCGGTATGAGGACCAGTGGCAGAAACGGCAAAACGACGCTAATAACACACATTTGCACCGGTTCCACTGAACTGGAACCCCCGGACACCCACCCCGACGAGTCCTCGCATCCCGGACTAGGACCCTAATACCCACAGGTCACCCTTAATCGCACCCGAAAAAGAGCAGGAATTAATATGCCCTGCCCGCAGATCTTTTTTTTCATTTCTTTGCAAACCGTTTTATTTTGGTTTACCCTGCACTCAACTACTAAAATAATTCCAAAATATGTTTATTATTATTGTTCGCATAGCTGTCAAACCAAACAAAAATAAATACGTTCATTTTCAACACGAATATTTTTGAAATAAACGTAAAATTATTTTTATTTTAAACATTGATTTCACATAACTTCAAACATGGAATACGTTTGAAATCAACCTAATTTATGTTTGTGGCCAGAACAAACTGAGTTTACGTTTAAATTTACCTCAAATATTTTTGTTACGACGATAGTTTTTTCTGCGTGTTGTTCTCATAAATTCGGCATTCTTAGGTAGATGATAGCTGTGCACATAATCGGCCGCACTTCCGTTCCCAGGAAAGTCATTAATTTCCACGAAATCTTCATCACCTGCGAACCAATGTGCTGTCCTCCGATGGAACGGGAATCGACTGACAACGGCGCCCCTGTAAACGGAGTCCCAGAGTGTTGGTTCTTTGGTCGATTTGCACTCGATTCGCGATGAGCCTGCAATCTTGAGAGATTTGCTGCTGGGGGAACGTCCAGTGCCGTTTTTAGCATCAAAAGCCGAAGCCGAAAACGATCAGGGCTATCGAAAACGAAAATCTAGGCAAAATGAATGACAAACAGAAAGCTGCTGTAAACATAAACAACAACGGTGAAACGTCATTGAGTGTATGCGTTAAAGTTACACTGTTAGTTTTTTTTACTTTGTAGCTTTCCACTTGACAGTTAATATCATTAATATGTCTACTAAAAACTATAATAACTACCAATTTGAGCAATTTTTACCCCAAATATTACTTCATATCAAGTTGTACTTCCCCTAGGTTCTTTGCGAAATATCCAATTTTGAGTATTTTGCAAAGAATTCGTGTTGAGTCAAATGTAACTGTTCCATGAAGAGCGAGTATTGGGTAAAAAGTACTTAAAATCAAGTATTGATTTAGCAAATATAGTTAAAAAATTTGATTGTTAATTTTTTCTCTTCAATGTTAAAATTAAAAGCCATTACAAATCAGTCATAGTAGTTCTATTTATTTTTTATAAACACTCATACAACACAACATACAACACTCGCTGGCAAATGTGTTGGGAATAAGTGACGCGAATACTACACTAGCAACGTGTGCCCCCCGGATAAAAATAAACCATTGCTTTTTTTGTATAAACCATTCGTATACAGTAGGCTCTATAACATACAATACGATATATTGTATTTGAATGACAAGACAAAATGTTTCCGTATTGTAACTACCATACATAAACATCATATTCTTATGTAACAACACAATGTATTGTTATTCTTATGTTTGAACCTTTCTTAACTTCAGAACAGTGTAGATTTTCCTGGAACTGGATCATAGGAAATAAAGTGATGAATTAACATATTTTACACATTTTATTGTAACAAAAAATACAATTTAGTCGACCCATGGTACATATTTAACAATTCTTATATACATTTTGTTTGAAGCATAGATTCGGACACATTTCTTAATTGAGTCATTAACTTTAACAAACGTTTTGTTATTGATTTCTGTTCCAATTATCAGCTCTTGTTCTTTTTGAACGAGTATCTGCTTGAAAATCAAATAAAAATTGGAATTTGAAAAGAGGATGCGCTGGATAATTCCATGTATAATTTCACCTTTCACATTCATAGTAAATGTTGAATCATCAGATTTTTTAAAAGAGGATATTTTTTCCGGTTTAAATGTATATCTGTTCTGAATCAAAATATTTCGCTCTTCGAGTAGTTGTTGTGGAATTTGTTCCTCTAGTATACATATCTCATGATTTCTAATATTAATATTTTCATTTATACACTTACTTTTGTGTTTGTAACGATTCATGGATTCACAAAATTCTCGAGCTTCTTTATTTTGAATTAAGTTAAGGTTAATACTATCTTTCTTTTGCACTAAGATACACCGACTTGCAATTTGGATAACAGGTTGTTTTGGACCTTTAATGAATTGTTTCAAAACTCCATTCATATCTTCAAAACAAAAAAGTGAAAATGCCCACAAAGGACCAAAATTTCTAACACAAGAGCCTATATGCAGAAGTAAATGAACATTGTACTTCATTTCATCGATACCGTATAGCACTTCACAATTTTGAACGAAAACTTTTAATAATCTCTCGCTTTCTGCAATTTCCTTGGCAGTAATACATGTATTTAAAAGTTTTTCTATTGCTATTACTAATAATTGGAAATGATCGTAATAACTTTTCGGTAAAAAGTCTTTTAAACAAACGGAACTATAGATTAACAACCAATTTTGCCATTCATTTGCTTTCCATGTCTTTCTATCGGAAACCTTACGAGGAGATCTTGAGCATTCTTGAAAAGAGCGTATGGATGTTATAATGTTATCTACTTTCCCAATGTAGCGTTTTATACAATATTCATTAC